AAAAAAAAAAAAAAAATCCAGATTTTCCAAAAATTAAATTTTCAAAAAGCAAAAATTTGAATAATTGATTAAATGGATTTATTTCCCAGCTCTAATTTGGACATTTCAACCTGACTGGATGTTTCCAGTTTCCTGTTCTCTGGTTAACATAACTGTCCTTAACATTTGATGGAAAAACCTTTTGGCCGAGTCAGCATGATGCTGCCACCACCGTGCTTCTCCATCTCGGCGCCTGTGCCGTTTATTCACACGTCTTCCCTGAATGTTCCTTTTTCCACTTGATGCTGCCGTTCTGGTAATTGTCCATCAGTGATGAGCAGCATTCCCACTGCATCCATTACTCATAAAAATAAAAAATAAGTCTGATCCATTTTTGTCTGCAAATGGACAATTTCAACCATAACAAGCGAATCAATGTGCTAATGTGTAATGATGAGTGTGTAAGGTTAAAATGTGTGTGAGGACGAAGCGGACGGGAAACTGAAGCTTATTTTGGAGCTGATATGTGATTCTGGACAAACGGAGAGGAAACACCGGGAATAAAACAATAAGATCTCTTATTAAACATAAGCAGAAATAGGCCCCACTTGTTCTTAAGCCACTATAAATCCTTGTGTTTAATTTAATTAGCTTGAATGTGTTTGTGAATTTAAGTCCTTTTGTGTTTGCTGAAAGTTTAAAATGAGACATGAAGTCATCTTTCCTTGCTTTCAAATAAAGCGTCCATAAATCCTGCCGTAAAGGAAACTGCAGGCTGATGTCAGGAGGAAGTGAGTGAGTGGATTCAGAGCCTGATGGGATCCAGTTTCCATAGACGCCGCACCGCGTTGCATAACGAAGGGAAACTGAACCAGCAGCACAAAGTTTCCCACTGTCCACATTCATCACAGCAACGATTTCAACGATTTGGTAATGAGAGGGGAAAGACGAGCGGCAAAGGTCGAACCTGCGACGGCCGCGTTGAGGACCAAGGCCTCCATATGTGGGTTGTGCTGAACCGCTGCGCCACCACAGCACATCCTGCCTCTACGCTGCATTGATGATCAGTTCAGCAGGAGCTCCTCATGTTGATGTTAGCAGATTTTTCATCTGCATCCTTTGCTACAAAAGATTAATACAGTATGAAACACTTTGTTGACTAGTATTAATCTGTAGTCAACAAAGTGTTTATTTACTCATTAAAAATTAGCTGAATTGTTTATTTACACCATTTCAGGCAATAATTCCTTAATTTTAATGAAAAACTTATAATTCTACCGGCAGATTATTTCACTTATAACATTAAAAACTGTCTTGTTATAAGTGAAATAATCTGCCAATGGAACTAAAAGTGGGTTGCTAGGTAACAGGCTGGGCTCGGCTGGGGTTGCTAGGTAACAGGCTGGGCTCGGCTGGGGTTGCTAGGTAACGGCGCAGTTCTCTCTGTGGAATAATCGGCCAGTGGAACTGAAACATTTTCATCAATATTAAGGAATTATTGATTCTGAGTTAGTTTTATCTTATTGTACTCATTTTCACCATGAATTAGACCAAAGCTACTTGGTTCTGTTTAGTGTTTTTGCAGCGTATCATGAAACTGAAGATGAGAGCGGTGATATCGATATTTAAATTCAGAGCTGTTGTGTGTCTGGTCGGTTTTGGTCACGGCGGACCAATCGGGTGTGGTCGCTGCGCTGTCTGGGCGTTTTACTCGCTGCTGCTTCCTGTCCAGATGAGATCGTTTCAGTTTTATTGATTCCCAGAGTTCCTGACCTCATTTCCTGCTGCTGTTGACAGAAACATTGAGGCCAGAGGCTCCGGAGACGAGACGCAACCCGGAGGAGCTTCCTGTCACCGCTCCGCCGTTCGCATTGTTTCTGAAGACTTTTCCTTTTAATGAATTTGTCAAACTGATTTAGAGCTTGAGGCCTAGAGGGCAGAGCAGGTCTGCCAGGGACAGACTGCAGGAACGCTGGGAAAGTCTGGAAAAACACTTTTCTGGATTAAAACTGTTTGCAGGGTTTGTGACGGCAGCTTCATGCTTTAAGGGATCAAATGTCATAAATATTAACATTCACCACCTTAAACAGACGAGGAAAAAGAAAGGAAAGAAAGAATAAAGGATGGAGTCGGATGGATAAATCAATAAATGAATTGATTTACCTGGATTTTCTTTTCCCATCTTTGCTCTGGTTGTGTTTCTATAGTGACGTCAGCCCTGAAGGAGAGGAAGGAGAGAAAACCTGCTCTTCATTGTCACATTTACTCATGTAGCACTTTAAAAACGGGTTTAAAGCTGCAGTGCTGTTCAAAACCCATAATGACATAAGTTGTTTCAGTTTGTTCAATCATGTGACTGAGACCTGAGGTTTAGTTTGTTTATTAAACTTTATGTGGTTTAAGTAGCAGGCATGTTGCAGCAAAGTTTTAAAGGTTTTTTTTACTGTAAAAATGGAAGATTAATAAACAAAATTCTTAAAAATCAAAAAGTTTAAAGGTGACCTGTTGCCATATATATTTACACTTCACATGTTTTTTATTCCATCTGGGTCTCTAAAAGATTAAAAAAAAAGTTTTCTGCCAATAAGTTTTTTGTTTGACCCATTTCAGAAACCATCATAATGTAACATCTCCTTCCATGGCATTGTGCCTAGCAACCACAGACAAGCCCAGCCCGTTACCTAGCAACCACAGTGTTTGGTCATCTGTACAACGGCTGCTGGAAAAGACAAGAGTTTTGTTGTTGACTTGCAGCGTTCTGGTTGGTTGTGCAGGAGGCTCCACTAATGCTTTTCATAGACGTACGGTTGTATAATTGTGCATCTGTTTGCAGAGATTTTGTTGTGTAAGTGTATATGATGAGTTGGGGGCGTGGCCAGCAGCAGATCGTTTGGATTTAAAGTGACAGAGACCCTAAAACATCTCGCACTAAAATCCGATTATCCAAGAATGATTTAATATAAAAATGTAATGAACGGGTTTTGTATAGACCAGTGGTGTCCAAAGTGGGTCCTGGAGGTTCGGCATCCTGCATGTTTTACTTCCTCCCTGGTTTAAAGCACCTGGATCAATGATGGCTCAGTAGAGGCCTGAGAAGAACAGTGACCTGCTGAAGTTTCCACCACCAGAAAGGAACTGAAACATGCAGGATGCCGAACCTGCAGGACCGACTCTGGACTCCTCTGGTACGGACCACAGATCCATCCTGACCCGTTCAACCAGCAGAATCTGTGTGAATTCTGACTATGAGCTGCTTCCAACAACCTGTTAGCCTGACTGACCTCATGGGTTGCCGTAGAAACGGCTCCTGAGTAAAACATGTCTGTTGGCGTTTCAGGTCGCAGCTGGAGTCAACGGGCGGCGTGTCAGCCGACGGCCAGACGGAGGAGGGAGACGCTCAGCCTCCTCGCTCGCAGCAACACGGCTGCTACGACCTGGACGACCTGGACGTCACCTGGCTGCAGCTGGTCAACCAGGAGTTCAGGCACATGGGTGAGCCGCCGCAGCCGCTGCTGCAGCCGCTTCAACAGCCGCTGCTGCAGCCGCTTCAACAGCCGCTGCTGTTTGCAGCTCAAACCAATCACTGAAGTGAATAACATATAATTAAACCAAACTACAAAAGAAAACATTTTGCATTTAACATAAAAACACGTCTTTGTTTGAACGTCTGAAGTTGTAGTTTTAGCTTCACCTGGATCAAAGTAGTTTAAAACATCTCCTGTTAAGCACATTTTGGTTCCAGTTATTAATCTGTTAATCCAAAATCTAATTAGTTCTGCACTTTATTGACAAGTCAAGCAGAAATGACAACAGAAATATGTTTCATCCTTTGATACTAAGGATTCCTGTTACTGCATTAAATGCAGAAAAAGTAGATTAAAAAAAAAGATCGTTATTTGTTTAGTTGCACCTTTTAATGTTTTCTACTATTGTTTAAAAGGTTTAAGTTGTTAAATAGTTTCTTTTTATCCAATTATTACATTTTTGCAGGTTTGGACTGGAAAGACAAAACGTGCTGGAAGTGAACAGAGTCCACTTCTCGCTCACATTTTCCTTCACTCTTGATTTGTCCGGCCGCCCTGAGCATCTCTGCTTCATATTTATTTATTTATCTCCTCTGCTTCTTATTTCTTATCACATCAGGCCTTTGCAGATAAAGTGTTTGTGTTTATGGATCCCTGCTGGGCATTAAATCCTGCAGAAACGCCTCCAAAACCTTTCACTGGTTCAACATCTGTTCACAACAAGCCAGTAGACAAAATTAAAGACAGCAAAAAGGAAGAAATTACATTTTTGTAAGATTTGTTTAAGATTAATGTAAACCTGCAGTTATCAGCATCGGTTAGCAGAACGACATGCAAAGACCAAACGTGCTGGAAGTGAACCGAGTCCAACACACACACACACACACACAGTAACCACAAGGCAGAGCGACGGAGCCGATGCTTCCTGCCGTGCAGCTCAGGATGTCGCAGCAGGTTAACGTCAAACTGTCGCTTTAGTTCACAGCAGCACCACAGTTTTCACTTCAAAACAGCCAAAAAAAACTTCTGTGTGTTTTGAATCGTTATTAATCAGAAGGTCTGCTGAAGTTGTTCACTACGCAGAAAACAGAAATGATCACATAGATTTCAACTTTTCTTCCTTATTTTGGGAAGAAATCTAAATTACTCTTCGCTGCAAAAACACAAAATCTTACCAGGTAATTTTTGTCTAGTTTCTAGTGCAAATATCTTAGGACACTCGGAATAAGAGAACTAAGTTTTCAGCAAGTAATAAGAACCTGTTTTATTTCACCTGTAACATGTTATAACTGAAATAATCTGCTAATGGAGCCAAGACGTTTTCATCAAAATTAAGTCATTTGTGACTGTAAAAAAAGCTCCTCTATCCTTCTGAAAAGTCACTTATGAAAGAAATGGATGAATCTTTACTGCAGCAATCTGCAACCTGCGCAGCTCCGGAGGAGGTTGGACACATTTTGGCTAAAAATGAAGAACCAACTGATGTTTGTTATACAGATCATTTTTCATCTTTTATTGAATATTTGCATCTAATTTGATCAAAATGACCCGAAACATTGATCTCATCAAAAAGTCAGAAAACATGTTTTTTAACCCTTTTTCATAATTTCCCTTCTTGTTGCGATTTTCAGTGCAGAAGCAATTTTACTTTCACAAGTGGAGCGTTGCAGCTTCCACTATAATTATATATTTTAATGTAAGTTTTAATAGTATTTACACCTGTAAAATAGTTTAAAAGTAAAAAATAAACATCATGTATTTTATCCCTTATAATATTTGCTGCTTTCCAGCCAACTGCATATGTTTGAATTATTTGTTCCGAGTTTGGAATAAATATCTTTTTTCATATGTTAAAGTTTGTGCATTAAAGACAGAAATTATCTTTACACATTTTAGCCTAAAAACTTCAGGTTAACTTGGACATTTTGTGTATATGTGACATAAAAACCGGAAACTTTAATGCTAACTATGCTAATGCTAAGAGAAATCAAACACGATGCGAGTGAGTAAAGAAATTAATGAACGTTTCAAACACTGGATATGTAACAAGATGCAGAAGAAAGAGTAAACAAAGTTATTTTTCTTTTATGGTGGGGAAACATAAATAATGCATGGAGGCTCAGGATGCTCCGCTCCTCTAAAACAAAGATCCTCCCAGCTGAGCGCTGGATCCTGCAGATGAATCAGAGACTCTCTGCTTGGTGGACTGATGAGCTTTTTAACTGTTGGAGCTGTAATGATTGGTGGCCTGGTTTGTTAGAGCTGCTTTGTTTGCTCCCTGCATTTATTTATCTGCAGCACTTTTAATCTCCTAAGGTTTCTAAAATGCTCTTCTCCATAGAAACGTCCTTTAACGTGACGTCCTTTCACTCCACTTAGCGATGATGGTGTGACAGACGGACCCATGCATCTCCTGTCCTGGAAGTCAGGCTGTTTGCTTTGCTCATAACTCTGATCCTTTTTGTTTTTTTAGTTGAGAGCTCTCGTTTGCCAGTTAGATCCGTTTTCATCACATATTAAGCAGCCTTGGAGCGAGTTTGAGATGCAAAGTGAGCAGGAATACCAACGACAGCATGAGCTGAGCTCTGGGCAACAGAGGCTTCTTCTTTTATTATATTTGTCTGAAAACATGCAGCATTTCTCCACTTAACTCAGGGTTACCTAAAAACACACCTGACTAATTTCCTTCTCATTTCATGCAGCGACATAAATCTGAGTCTGTTTCCTACTGAAGCAGCCAAAAATAACTCTGTAAATCTGAACCTTGAGCTGTTAGTGTAAAAACACTGGAAGGAAAACTGAAGCGTCGACGCCGTAACTCTACGGGTCGTTTTAATTTATCCCCAACGGCAGAAAAATTCTCCAAACTTCTGCTCTGCTGGAAAAAGAAATAAATGGAGAAAACAGTTTTACACCCTTACAGATAAATCTTCTTTGCTTTTTTTCTCTCAAATTTTTCAAATTTAAATTGCAGTGGTAACATGATTGCATTTATAAAATTCAGCTTTAATTTTTTTATTAATCAAGAGGATAAAAGCTATTTAATACGCCCCCCC